GAATCCATTGATTTTGGGTTGCCAGACCAAGGTCATACTATTTTGGAGAAAGGCTCTGTGTTTGTGTCAACAAGAAAGGAAAAAAGTCTTCTAAAGTAATATGGATTAGATATGATAGAGGAAGAGCCCCTAAAGGTCTTGACTGGAGACAGGAAAGAAAAATTCAAGAAGACCAAACAGGACAGGTTACATGAATTGCTGATCCCTCTACATGGGAACAGCCCATAAAAATGTCTCAGCCAAAACTTCAGCTAAAAATAGCCAATGAATCTTGTTGGTTACAGAATCCTTAAAATTCATCATGCCGTCTTTCATATGGCATGAATGAAGATTTATTACAATTTGGTTATTAATCAAACTGACTTATAAAAAAGACACTTGTCTTTCACCTGCTCAAACAAGGAGAAAAAAAAAAGAAAGAAAGAAAGAAAGAAAGAAAAAAAAAAGAAAAAAAGTCATCCTTAACTGACCTATGCACCTTGGACTATCCATGCAGATATCTTTATAGAACTAAATATTGGTTGTGAGATTCATATATTATGAAACATCAACAATACAGCTCTGAGAAGATTCATCCCTAGGGGATGCTGAAATGACCTGCTGTTCCAGCTCCCTGATCCTGCCTTACCTGATGCTGTTTCTAGAGACTTGCTCCCGGAACAGCTTCAGGAATGATTGCTAATCCCTGACGACCTCAGTTCATCCAGCCTTTCAGATGGTTCCAGTCAGGACTTCAGTTAAGTCCTGAACTCTCAACATAAAGAGACTGGACAACAAATGCTACAGATAGCTTTCTTAAGTCTACTCACTTTTTTTTTTCTAATTTTCTTGCCCCTTTCTACTCCTTTAAAAAAGTAATCTTTGCCCCAACTCAACAGGAAGCAGTCATAGAAGATCATTGACACAATCCCTTAAGCTAGGATGCCTAGGTTAGTTATTTTATAAATTATAGAAGTACTGTCATTTCAAGGAATAACTTGGAAATGGTTGTAATTTTAGACAGGAATGAAGCTAAATAGAGAACTTAGAGTCATCTTTCCTCTCCTTGTCTCTATCCTTCTTTCTTTTTTAGGTAAAGAGGAGGTTGAAAAGAAAAAAGTGGGGGAGGGATACAGTAACATTATTGAAATTAGATAAATTAGATAGATTATTTAATTTATTCTTTTTTGCTGGCTTTTTAATTAAACTAATAAAATTTATTTAAAAATATACAATTCAGTATTGACTTTTTTAAACTCATCAAAATAATTTATAATAGTTAAATGGCTCTTAAATATATATACATGATATCTTCTGAAGCTAAAAGTAATATGCACATAACCAGTTTATAAAATCTATTTGAAACATTAAACATGATAGAAGTAGAAAAAAAATCTCTTATGAAGTCCTCTATGAAAGGACATTGTGACATGTTCCTGATTAGATAGAAACCATTCTATCTCCAAGAGAGAATACACAGAGTAACTGTGGCTTCATAGAATGAATTGAGTAGTGTTCCATTTCAATTTTGTGGAATAGTTTGAAGAGTATTGGTATTAGGTCTTCTTTGAAGGGCTGATAGAATTCTGCACTGAAACCATCTGGTCCTGGGCCTGTTTTGGTTGGGAGACTTTTAATGACTGCTGCTATTTCTTTAGAGGTTATGGGACTGTTCAGATGGTTTATCTGCTCCTGATTTAACTTTGGTATTTTGTATCTATCTAGAAAATTGTCCATTTCATCCAGATTTTCCAGTTTTATTGAATATAGGCTTTTGTAATAGGATCTGGTTATTTTTTTAATTTCCTCAGTTTCCATTGTTATATCTCCCTTTTCATTTCTGATTTTGGTAATTTGGATAATGTTTCTGTGCCCTCTGGTCAGTCTGTCTAAGGATTTATCTTTCTTGTTGATTTTCTCAAAGAATCAGCTCCTGATTCTTTGTATAGTTCTTTTTGTTTCTACTTGGTTGATTTTAGTTCTGAGTTTGATTGTTTTCTGCCGTCTACTCCTCTTGGGTGTATTTGCTTCTTTTGTTCTAGAACTTTCAGGTGTGCGATTAAGCTGCTAGTGTATGCTTTCTCCAGTTTCTTTTTGGGAGCACTCAGAGCTAATTTTTCCTCTTAGCACTGCTTTCATTGTGTCGCATAAGTTTTGGTATGTCATGCCTTCATTTTCATTAAATTCTAAAAAGTCTTTAATAGCCGGGCAGTAGTGTCACACACCTTTAATCCCAGCACTTGGGAGGCAGAGGCAGGTGGATTTCTGAGTTTGAGGCCAGCCTGGTCTACAGAGTGAGTTCCAGGACAGCCAGGGCTACACAGGGAAACCCTGTCTCAAAAAACCAAAAACCAAAAAAAAAAAAAAAGTCTTTAATTTCTTTCTTTCTTCCTTGACCAAGTTATCATTGCGTAGGGCATTGTTCAGCTTTAATGTGTATGTGGGCTTTCAGTTGTTTTCTATTGAAGACAAGCCTTAGTCTGTGGTGATCTGATAGAATGCATGGGATTATTTCAATCTTCTTGTATGTGTTGAAGCTGGTTTTGTGACCAATTATATGGTCAATTTTGGAGAAGGTACCATAAGGTGCTGAAAAGAAGGTATATTCTTTTGTTTTAGGATGAAATGTTCTATAGATATCTGTTAAATCCATTTGGTCCATAACATCTGTTAGTTTCACTGTGTCACTGTTTAGCTTGTGTTTCCATGATCTGTCCATTGATGAGAGTGGGGTGTTGAAGTCTCCCACTATTATTGTGTGAGGTGCAATGTGTGCTTTGAGCTTTAGTAAAGTTTCTTTTATGGATGTGGGTGCCCTTGCATTTGGAGCATAGATGTTCAGAATTGAGAGTTGTTCTTGGTAGATTTTTCCTTCAATGAGTATGAAGTGTCCTTCGTTATCCTTTTTGATAACTTTTGGTTGAAAGTTGATTTTATTCGATATGAGAATGGCTACTCCAGCATGTTTCTTGGGATCATTTGCATGGAAAATTGTTTTCCAGGCCTTTGCTCTGAAGTAGTGTATTTTTTTTTTTTTACACTGATGTATGCTTCCTGTATGCAACAAAATGCTCGGTCCTGTTTACGTATCCAGTCTGTTATTCTATGTCCTTTTATTGAAGAATTGAGTTCATTGATGTTAAGAGATATTAAGGAATAGTGATTGTTGCTTCCTGTTATTTTCATGTTTCTGTGGCTATCTTCTTTTGGGTTTGTTGAAAGATTACTTTCTTGCTTTTTCTAAGGTGTAGTTTCTCTCCTTGTGTTGATGTTTTTCATCTATTATCCTTTGTAGGGCTGGATTTGTGGAAAGATACTGTGTAAATTTGTTTTTTGTCATGGAATATCTTGGTTTCTCCATCTATGGTAATTGAGAGTTTTGCTGGGTATAGTAGCCTGGGCTGGCATTTGTGTTCTCTTAGGGTCTGTATATTATCTGCCCAGGATGTTCTAGGTTTCATAGTCTTTGGTGAGATGTCTGGTGTAATTATGATAGATCTGCCTTTATATTTTACTTGACTTTTTCTCCTTACTGCTTTTAATGTTCTTTCTTTGTTTTGTGCATTTGGTGTTTTGACTATTATGTGACGGGAGGAATTTCTTTTCTGGTTCAATCTATTTGAAGTTCTGTAGGCTTCTTGTATGTTCATGGACATCTCTTTCTTTAGGTTAGGGAAGTTTTCCTCTATAATTTTGTTGAAGATATTTACTGGCCCTTTAAGTCGGGAATCTTCACTCTTTTCTTTTTTTTTTTTTTTTTGGTTTTTCGAGACAGGGTTTCTCTGTATAGCCCGGGCTGTCCTGGAACTCACTCTGTAGACCAGGCTGGCCTCGAACTCAGAAATCCGCCTGCCTCTGCCTCCCGAGTGCTGGGATTAAAGGCGTGCGCCACCACCGCCCGGCTATTCTTCACTCTTTTCTATTCCTATTATTCTTAGGTTTGGTCTTCTGATTGTGTCCTGGATTTCCTGGATGTTTTGGGTTAGGAGATTTTTGCATTTTACACTTTCTTTGACTGTTGTGTCAATGTTTTCTATGGTATCTTCTGCACCTGAGATTCTTTCTTCTATCTTTTGTATTCTGTTGGTGATGGTTGCATTATTACTCCTAATCTCTTTCCTAGATTTTCTATCTCCAGGGTTGTCTCTCTTTGTGATTTCTTTATTGTTTCTATTTTCATTTTTAGATACTGGATGGTTTTGTTCAATTTCTTCACCTGTTTGGTGCTTTCCTGTAATTCTTTAAGGGATTTTTGTGTTTTCTTTTTAAGGGCTTCTAGCTGTTTACCTGTGTTCTCCTGCATTTCTTTAAGGTAGTTATATATGTCCTTCTTAAAGTCCTCTATCATCATCATGAGATGTGATTTTAAATCAGAGTTTTACTTTTCTGATGTGTCGGGGTATTCAGGGCTTGCTGTCATGGAAGAACTGGGTTCTGATGATTCCAAGTAGCCTTGGTTTCTGTTGCTTATGTTCTTGCCCTTGCCTCTTGCCATCTGGTTATCTCTGATGTTAGCTCATCTTGCTGTTGCTGACTGTGACTTGTCCCTCCTGCAAGCCTGTGTGTCAGTACTGCTGGGAGACCAGTTCTCTATGGAGTGAATTTGAGTCTGGGGAGCTGTGGCACAGGGTCAGCTTCAGGGTACAGAGGTAAACTGGAAGGATCCTGTCCCCAGCTCTTCTGTGGTTCCCATGTCCTCTGGGCAGGTCCCTCTTGGGCCAGGGGTTTGAGCAGAAGTAGTAATCTCAGCTGTGCTCACAGGCTTGTCAGCACTCCCGGGAAACCAGCTCTCTCTTGGCAGTATTTGGGTATGGAGCGCTGTGGCACAGGATCAGCTCTGGGCAAGCATGGAAACTGGAAGAATCCTGTCCCAGGCTGCTCTTTGGTTCTTATCTTAATTTTCTCTAAAGAAAACATTTTATAGCCACAATCTTACATTGTTAAAAAAACCTTTTATATTTTGATACAGAATTGAAGTTATATTTTCTTAAATTGGTACAGAATTTTGGATACTAATATAGGTTTAAGGTTTTTATTGGTAGAAATCTTTATACATTGATACAAAATTTTAAATTAATTTTGTTTCTTTTAGATAGGCATTATGCCTATGCAACTCATTTAAGAATATAAGGCTTAGACCCAGTTCTTTTAATAGCTGCTATTTCAAAATATTTAAAATGATTAAGTAATTCAAGTTAAAGTCAGATAGTCAAACTCATGGGCATGTTAGATTCTAATTTAGTTATTTACAATAAAGTGTTTTCAAGGTCACTCAAATAGTAAATAGCTAGAAATAATAATGTTTAACAATTCTTATGCTATACATAGATAGATGGTCTTCAAAAGCATCAGAAATCCACAAAATATAACATTTAATGTTATTTCACAAACAATAAATCTTTTGGCTATGAGACAAGTCTGCTCCTGACAATATTTCCATCCACTTCAAAGAAGAAGATGAACATTACCTCCATATGGAGTTACTTCAATTGTGACAAGCTAGCCATTGAACAAGAAATGCCCTAATTTCATCTACAGACAGAATGCCATCCAAAAAGGACAAACAGACACGGGATAATCAACTGCTATGCTCTGCCAATACAGGCTAATCTAGTCCTTCATAATTTCTACTTCACTTAAGGTCTGTCAGATGTTCTGGGCCAGAAGGTTGAACACAGATGTTACAACTTTATAAGAAATATTGGGGACTGTCCAGGTAGTCAGCTGCCTCTGCCAGTTATTTAAATTTTGGAAGCTGTGTCTTTATGCTTTTTACATATTCAGATAATATTTAATACCTTCTCAAATCTCTGACAAGGTAAAAAACTAGTTATGATCTCACAATTGAACTTAAGTTTTTTAACACTAAAGAAAACGTTCTAGACTTGAAAGGATGGTTTTCAGATGGTAATACAAGTTAAAATCAAACATGATTTAGGTACAGAATTCTAAACTCTTTAAGTTAGGATAGATGACAGAATACTTTATCTAAATTGTCAAATATGATGGACTGGATGTAATAAGTGTATATAATACCTTATAATTAGCATAATTGTTATAATTGTATTCAAATTATATCTAAGAGAAAAAAACATTTTATTAGCCTCCTGGTACTCACTAGTACAAATTTCCTCTGGACTAAAAGGGGGGAATTGTTGAGGTTTTGTCTTTTACCGTTTATTGTAATGCTGGCCTCCAAGATTTAGAGTCTGCACATAGCCTGAGGGGCCCTGTCCCCACTTAATTATACTTGGTAAATAAAGATGCCAGCAGCCAATAACTGTGGAGAAGAGACATAGGCAGGGTTTAGGTTTCCCCAGGCTAGAGACCATGAAGAAGAAGCAGGAGGAGAGTGAGCTGCCATGGGCTAGAGGCCAAGAGAATATGGCTCAGAGGGCTGTCTTGTTGGAGATAAGGGCATTCCAGATGAAATATAGCAAGTAATAACTAGGGTTATGGAGGGTAGATAGTTGCCAACTATAACGCTTCCTAAGGCATATTAAAATACATAGGTCATGTGTATGTCTTTCATCTGAGAACATAACTTGTCTAAGGTGGGAAGAAGCCCCACAGTGAGATTTTAAAAATAGTTTTTAATACATTTTATAAAAAAGTACATTATTATAACAACTTGAGAGGCTTGAGTAGCACCTGGGGACAAGATGTCACTGTGCCATAAATGTTCATTTCCTGGTCTTGATTGTTGTTTTTTTTGCTGTGCAGGAGAATGGCCTTGTGGGAAGTGCACACTACTGTTTGCACTAGTGAGCACCAGGAAGCATTTGTTGGTAACGGGGACTCACTGCAACTGACTCTCAAGTGCAAGGGAAGCGTGGGGGAGGGGAGAGGGCAGCTTCTTTATACATTACGATTGTTTTAAAACATGACTTATAAAATACAAATTTAATTTTCAAATATGAAAGCAGAGATGACACTCTGGGTTCCAGGCAACCAAAGGGATCAGTGTGTTTCCCTGACAGCCACCAAAGCACCTACAGCAAGGAGAGGGTAGGATGGACCTTCATCCATTTGCAACTGAGCGATAGGTTTTATAAGGTTTCCAGTTGATATCATTTATTGCAGAATTTCTACTCTGAACCATGAACACTACTCTATATGACAGCATGTATATTAAAAATTGGAATGATATAGAGATTACCATGGCTCTTGCCAAAGGAGGACACAGATTCAAGAAATACTCCGTTTTTTTAAATAATTGTCTAGGAAGTAAATGTTGACACAATATTGAGAAATAATGGAGGAAAACAGTTGTTTCAAGAATGTTTCTTTATTGATGGCCACATCTGTTTGCACTGAGAGGAATCAGGTCACTTTAGAACTTGCTGCTTAGAAGTAGGTCAGCTCATCATCCTTGGTTTTGTTAGTCTGGTAACCAGTAAGTTCAAAATGATCCTCTCCAGAAAGATCCTTGAAGACTTTCAGGTGTATGAAAGAATCATTCCCTACATCTACCTGAAAGACATAAAAGAAGAAAGAAAGAAAGAAAGAAAGAAAGAAAGAAAGAAAGAAAGAAAGAAAGAGAGAAAGAAAGAAAGAGAGAAGGAAAGAGAGAAAGAAAGAAAGTTATTCATATGGATCTCCATTGTATGACAGATTTTCTTTTTTGTTAAGACTTAATGTGCTAAGTAAGGTCTCCTGAAACAACACTTCTGGCCCAGGCCAGGATCCATGAACTGAACTTTCATCAACTTGTACAACTTAGAAAAAAGAGTAGCTAACAGTATGGCAGAAAACATATTTCCTAGATGTATTATTAATACCTTTTAGAAAAATATTTTATTCAATCTATTTGTATTTAAGTGCATCATGTGCATGCAATGCCTGAAGACCTCAGAACAGGGTGTTAAATCTCTTAGAACTGGTGTCAGAGATGGTTGTGAGCTGCCATGTGGGTGCTGAGACCCAAACCCAGGTCCTCTGCAAGAACAGCCAGCGTGCTTACCCACTTATCCATTTCTCCATCTGGATTTAATTTGTTGTACTTGTCATTAAAATCTTGGCACAGATTACATTCCAGAGTTACATGTTATTTTTGTGATGGCTGGAACAAGAACAGAGGGCAGCCTACATTTTTAGTTATTCTGTTTTCTGACTTCTAAGTTGAGGAAACATGGCTTAGTTTTGTTTTATGAATTTTTTGTGAGGACTAGGTAAAGAGGGGGGGGTGGCCTGCTTGTAAAACAGGACCTGACACAGCCTAAGCCCACCTTGAGTTATTATCCTCTTTGTTCAGAGTAGGAAATGATTAGGCTTAGGGTTGGAGATCTTGGGATTACATAGATTTGGAACAAGAATGAATTTATTGAACACGCAGAACAATGGAACAAAGGTCAATCCCAGGACAGCCTGTGGTTCTCTAGTACTTTCTCAGTGGGGATTCACAACAGACAGAAAACCCTACCAGTAACAAATGAAAGCTAGAGACTGGCTGAGAACAATGAGGTCAACAGTCAGCCTGCAGGACGGAAGGAGGGACTAAGGCTCAATAACAGAAGGAAGGTAAGTGAGAGAGCCAGGGGTGGGGGGAGGGGCTGGGGCTGGGGCTGGGGATCAAGGAACCACACTGAAATAGAGTGGTCAAGGGGAAAAATTCCCAAGACAATTTTCTAATGAATTTTTTTATTAATGAAATATGTGAGGGAGTTGATATGAAATATTCATATTTGGATAACCAAAGTTATTAAAATAATCCCAATTTTGGTGAAAGATTTTCTATCTCTGAATATAATCATTTTTCCTGATTTTTTTTTTCTCAGATATGAAGAAAGATGATGGAAGGAACCAATTCCTTCTGAGGATGCAGCTGGGGTTAGCTCACATGTTTCTTCAGGCATGGAACACACCAGGGACTCAAATTTGATTGAACTGAGCTGGTCCAGTCCTTACAGACAACCCAGCTTTGAGAGTGGCTCATGTTGAGCTGGCTAGCTCTGCTCATGTCATTAAAAACAACAACCACAACAACAATGACAAAACAAACAAAAAAACCAACTAAACACATTAAAACACATAGCATAAGTATCTAATTTTTAAAAAGAAACAAATGCCACTGTGCCTTGGTTCAATGACAAAGCAGAGGAGGTAAAGGCACGTGACAGATGGTTATCTTTTCAGTCAGGATTGACATTGTTTAATACATAGAGATAAATATAGCTCCTATTTATTATCCATGGTTGAGTTTTTGAATTGTTTCCCTAGTCACTAGTTCACAAGAATGTCAAAATAGTTTTTTTGTTAGAACTTAATCAGAAAACCATTTGATTTAATTTTTGATATAAAATTTGTTTTAAATAAAAAAAATTGTGTGTATGGGTGTGTGTCTGTGTATGGCTATGCACACATAGAAGCAGGTGCCCTTGGAGACCAAAGGTATCAGGTCTCTTACTGCTGGAGTTACAAGCAGCTGTGAGCCACCTGATGTGGCTGCTGGACACAGTGGTTTCTACAAAAGCTGTATTCACTTTTAACAGTTGAGTCTTTTCTTCAGCTCCTGAAATGTATTTTATAAAATATTATGTCTTTATACTGTAGTTGGAGTGCCTCAGTTGTACCTGCTTGAATTATACAAAGAATTATTTGAGGGCTGGATAGATGGCTCAGGAGTTAAGAGTACTGACTGTTCTTCCAAAGGTCTTGAGTTCAATATCTGGCAACCATGTACCAGCTCACAACTGTTTATAATAGGACCTGATGCTCCCTCATATGCATAAAAATAATAAAAAAGGATTATTTAAATGACATTAATAACTACTCATTTAAAGGATGAAATTGGCTTGAATTATTCTTTCAGCTAATGATTGAAGTTCTTTTTAGGTGCATTTGATTTGAACATACAGAATTAGGAAGTTTTGAGGTGGAAAATGCCCTAAGACACTGGCCAGTTCCCATACCCTAAAATGTTAGCCTCCACATTTACCTGAAAGAGTAAGTAGCCATGGCCTCACACCAATGTCTGAGCTGTTACATCATCTTTTTCTACAGGGTTCTAGAAATTAAGAACCACATAAGAAAGCTTTCTGTATTCATGAGGGATAAAAAGGTAAATATCCTGTCACTATATGGATTGGGGGTCTTCTACTTGCACGTGTCTTAATTAAAGACCAGTGGCAGAGATGAAGGTACAGTTGGGGCAACAGAAAACAATCACATCAGTGCTTGAGGGAGGTTGGTGTCTAACCTTAATGAAGTAATTGGTTCCAGCGACAACTTGAGTTTTATACTCAACGGCTTTGAAGTTTTCATATTTCTCATTGGTTTTCTCTTCCAGCTGTGCTTTGACCTTATGAGGGGAAAGAAAGAGATGATGTTAGGGTGTGTTGACTCAGCTTACCTGAGTCACAAATCTGGGAACCTCATCATACTGAGAGTGCTGCTGATGAGCCTGGGCTGGCTGCTCAAACCTCTAATTCCAGGACGTGAAAGACTGGGGCAGGAGAATGTCATTCAAGAGCAGCTTCAGCTATGTAGAAAGCTCTAGGCTACTTGGTACTAAAAATTAAGATCCTGTATCAAAAATCAAAATAAACTTAAAAAGCCGTGTAATCTTTTTTTCCCAATAGAAAAACGTTTACACAGGTTAAATAGTCAAATTATATTGCATGAACCTGAATTAATATCAAATCACTGCAGTATTACACAATAGTCACAGTTTAGGGCCAGTCCAATAGCTAAGCAGGTAAAGTCACTTGCCACTAAGAAAGTATGACAACCTGAATTCTGTCACTGGGACCCACATGGTGGAAAGAGAGGATGCATTCTTTCAAATTGTCCTGTGGTACACACACACACACACACACACACACACACACCCACCCCTACCTATGGCAGGGGGTGGAAGCTTAGATGCTTGCATTGCTGAAAGGAGTTAGTCTCATATTCAGTGTGTAAACCTTTATTGAATGTTATGCATCCACCCTTTCTCTGGGTGCTCAGTTAGACCCTATAGACTAGGGCTCATTTTCTGCTAATAGCCAAGCTCCAGGTTTCCACCAGGGCTAAAAAGGGGGAATAGCTCACATCCCAGGATGGAGGATGTTGAGGGTAAGGAGGGGTTTGGGGGTCTAGCTGTTGGTCATATAGACCCATCAGGTCTCCTACTCTCTTGACTCAACTCTCAAAATTTCTGGTGTTGCCAATGCCAGCCATCAGCAATCTAATACAGCTGTATTAGGTCTACTGTGTGAATCTCCTGTGTGATCTTGGACGTGCCCTCCACAGCTCAATCAATCTTGATGTCTCTCAGTTTTCATCTTCTTACCTCCATTCACATCCTTCAGGTAGTGTCTACTGATTTCCTGTTACCTCTCTCATGGGTGCTTTCCCCACAATCCTTTCCTATCCCTGGGAGGAAAACTAACTCTGTCTTCAATATATCCTTTCCATTGAGAAGTTGGTACAATGCTCTCTGATGAAGCATTTGGGTGCTTCTAGCTTTAGTCAGGCCCCTAGTGCATCCAGAGTTCTCTTAAGACTCTCTGAAGCCCTCCTCAGCAGGGAGGCATTCTCAATCCTTTGCTGGTGCCTCAGTTGGCTAGTAGAACTATTTTCAAATGAATCTCCAGACTGAGTTCTCAGATTTGATTAAATTCCAACAGGCACCACTTATTTGTTCCCCAAGCCTTCAAAATAGGTGGGGTGGCAACAGTTGCTTTGTCGAAATGGAAAATGAATCATTAAGTGGAGGAAAGAGGAATAGGAAGTGAGAGGGAAAAGACTGGACCAGCAAGAGGCAGGGTGTGGGAGAGGAGCCATGGACAGCTGTCCAGAGAGAAGCTGAGTGGGAAGAGGGTTATATCTTAGGCTCTCTACGTCCTGATGCTTTTGATTGGTCAAAGGAAAGATGCCAGCACTGGGTATCCATTGAACTAGAAAGGCCTAATCTCTATACTCATCCCCAAACTGATTTATTGAGTCTCATTTTACAAGTAAGGAACTTGAGGTTAAGGTTAAAGATCATTGATCATTGTCAGAGCAATTTAAAAACCTTTGTTTGATAAGTTTCTGAGCTACAGTCCATAGGGTTATATTATATTATTTCTTAATTTTGTTTTATTTTTCATGTTAATATGTGCCTGTGTGTGCGTATGTGTACATGTGAGTGTAGGTACCTATCGAGTCCAGAAGAGGTCATCAGATCTCCTACAGCAGAGTTGCAGGCAGTTTTGAGCTGTTTGGCATAGCTTCTGGGAACAGTATGCGTGCACCCTTAACTGCTGAGCCATCTCTTTAGTCTCAGTCTTTTTTTTTTTTAAGCTATATTATAAGTGCGTTTTCCATCTCTCCTATTAATGGATACAAATTGCAATTACTTCATCACACTTGTGTATGTAGACCAATGTCCAGGATTTTCCAGGGGAAAACTGATTTCAAATGCTTTGGTTTGTATCCTTATAAGTATTTGTGCTTGCCCAATGTCTGGTTCGTTGTGGAAGATGCAGCCTCTCTCCCTTTTTTGTAAGACACATTTGTGTCCGTTAATAAGGGATTCTACAAACTTGGGTGATGCTGGGCAGTTGGGAAGTAGGAGAGGTGAGTGGGAAGACTGTGAGTGATAATTTAAAAATCAGAAAGTAGCTTGGCGCCACCAAGCGAACCACCAGGAGGGGTACTGGGAGGTACCAGAAGGCATTTGTGGAGCATGGTGTGACAAACAGGACTTGTGTTGTACCCAGTTGCTGCTGTCCTTGCAGTGTCTGATGATGCCTGGAGACTGTATGCTTGCCACTCTGTCCTCCTTCAGAGAAAGGGGCACTGGGTAAATGCGTTTACTCCAGAATGTTTTAGCCTTTCCAATAGCTGCAAATCTCACCGGGTTGTTAGTTTTCTATGATCTGAAGAATCGTTCCATAGAGGCATACACACCCATGAATTTCCCCAACCTGCAATCATTCTTCAGAGCAGAATGGATAGAAGATGCTGGATGCAAGGTAGATAGATATTATTTACGGAAATTTCCAATAAGAGAAGAGAATTCAGAGGCAGTATGGAAATATGGTGAGGCCGGTGGGACATGTCTTATGGAAATTTGTCAGCTGACATGCTTAGAAGGAAATACGAAGAAGAACACGCAGGACACAAGAAAATGAAGTCACTAGACTGTAGGTGGAGGGAAAGAGCATAGGATTGAAGGAAGCAGTTAAATCTGTAGCAATATGATAAGCTGGGGTGTTCCCTTGCCAGATGCCAGCAATTTTCTAAGCAGAGGAAGAACTGAGACACCTACTGGGGAAACCATGGAAGGCAGGGTCGGGTGGGAGGCAGGGGTTCTGGTATAGACCTCGCGGAAAAACAACAGCAAATAGAACTAAAAGGATGCTGTGTGTTCCCAAGGTCCTGCTGGGATGTGGATATTCTTGCATCACACTGGAATGGTGAGCTTTCTGTGGTTCTGTGACTCCCTGGAGTAGAAGTGGAGGAGGAGGGAGGGCAGAGGGAGTGATCTCTAATTGAAGATTGGAATGTCATGGATCACAGGATCACAGGAATCAGAGTGGGGGAGTGTGGGAAAACATCCACCCTGGACCAGTGACCAAGAGGATCTAAGCATGATAAGACTGGAGGGTAGGTGCCTTGAGATTCTGGTGTGGCTGAATGGCATGTTCTCTGGGAATGGGACAACAGAATTGACTGACCAGAAAGCTTAGGTTGGAGAGAAAGGAACACACATCTGTAGATGAGGCCAGTGGGAGCCATGCTAAACCTCAGGGTGTGCCTGAGGTATTTGTGTGGTGTCCTGGCCAATAACCCTCATGCTTAGCGAGTTCTCCAGGGGTGGTGCTCATCGACCAGGTTTCTGAGGTGAAGATGAGCATGGGCAGTGTGCACATACATTTGCATGTGTAATCACAGCCTGTGCTTCTAAAAATAATCCTTAAAATAATATTTCTTTTCCTCCTGTAAACATACTTGGAATTCTCATCCAGTGGCTACTTACATAGACAATAAAAGATTACCAGCTGCAATCTGGAGTTGTTATTGAACCCCGCTGTTCCTTTAGCAGTCCATTGGACATGTTTGGTTTTTCATGAATGGGGATGTGCCTGGCTCTTTATTTTATTTTATGACAATCTTTTTTTTTCAAGACAAGGCTTCTCTGTGTAGTCCTGGCTGTCCTGGAACTCACTCTGTAGACCAGGCTGGCCTCAAACTCAGAAATCCACCTGCCTCTGCCTGCCAAGTGCTGGGATTAAAGGCGTGCGCCACCACCGTCCGGCAATTTTATGACAATCTTACATCCCAGTTTATTTTGTAAATTTTCCTGAGGACAGAGACCATTTGATATCCTCCTTCCCTGCTTAGCAATTCATTGCTGTCTAAAAAAAAAAAATCAACATTATTTTGTTCTTCTCCTTTTTTTTTGTTTTTGTTTTTTTTTTTCACTACAGGTTTTCTTTGTATGGCATTGGCTGTTGTACTAGAATTCAATTTGTAGACCAGGCTGGCCTTGAACTCAAAGATCTGCCTGCTTCTGCCTCTTGAGTGCTGGGATTAAAGACCTGTATTACCACTGCCTGGCAATCTTAAATTCATCATGTGGGTTCAGGCACTGAGCCACCTTACCACCTGATAATCAATGTTTTCTGAAGAATACTTTAAGAATACTTATCTCCCCTGAAAATTCTTACAGCCTCCCACTCTCCAAGCCTTTGGGACTTGATACTTGCCTTTCTGTGTGTTTGATACTCAATTCCCAGGCCATGAAGGTACCATTTCTCTATGGTACGTTCCTTTTCTATGTGGGGACCATTTCAATTCCTCTCTTCCCTCCTCCTTGGTGGGGTTCTGCTAGCACCCAATAGTTTCTCTCCTAAAACCACTTAACAGTAGATTTTGAAAAAAAAATATATATACACATATATATGTATATATATATCTTAATATATAAATTTATAAGTTTATATATATAAATATATAAATTTGCATATATATATCTTAAAATATAAAGGAATAAAAGTACAAAGTAAATGACAGGTAGTGGAGATTTTCTCTGGATCTTTTCAGATCATTCTAGGGATACAATAACTTTCTCTGGCCTGACACTGTGTGGGGACCCAACTGACCATATAATCTTGGAGGAGTAGACTGAATTTCCTGACTTAACGAGGGCTTTCTGTAGTATCTGACCCATGGTGTTTTTTGAAGGGGAATTATTGCTGTGATTGAGAAAATGGTTCTTAAAAACACAGTTTACTGCCTGCCTCTCTGCCTCCCAACACATTAGTGAGAGTTGTCCCCTCAAGCTGTCTCCTGCAACACAGGACAGATGAGTGACATCTGGGAGCTGAAACACCACCCTGTACATGTTGACCTGACAGTAACAGGGTTGGCAGTGATGCCTAATGTCCTTTTTGGTCTTAAACCTGTGATCATGCAGGAGTGCTTAAGTAAGTTTTATTTTATAACATTCCCTAGATATCTTAATTTCCTCTACACTATTCATTCTGGGAGACTGGGGCCCATTTATTTCAGCCCTTTATGTACCTTCTACAGTTTGTAGTCTGATGCTCCACATCTAGGAGATACTCAGGAAATGTCCCTATGTAATGGTTCATGGCTATGCATCTCCCATGGTGATTTAAGTATGAGTCCCTGGTTTTCACAGGACAAGTTTGCTGCATTCCCTCCCCTCATTCCTACAGAGCTCCCCAGTGTGCTGAGGCTGTACAGAGGGAAAAGAGGCTAATTCCTTATCTGGACAACTCTTAAGCATTTTGATTCTTGGTATCATCATCTAAAAATAGGATGGAATGCATCCTTGCCTGCTGGGGGCTTTGAAGAGCAACTGAGGGGTGGGGCAGAAATCAAGGCTTTTAAAACAGCAAAGCTTCGTCCTAGGTGAGGTGACCTTGTTAATATCTCTGTCTCATTCTACTTCTCTGGAACCACAAGAACACACTTCTTAATAAATTTTATTACAAAAGATGTAGTCTACAGATGGTGGTTTTTTTTCCAAGATAAGAACTTTCAGTAGCTTCCTATCTTAAAAATTATATGATCAAAATACATATTATGTATATATGAAATTCTCAGAGAACTAATGAGAATATCATGTTCAAAATTATCCTAGCCAGCAGGATGACACACTCCTATAGTCTGAGGTACTTGGAAGGCTGGAGGCAAGAGGATTACTTCAACTTGTGATGTTTGGACCACTCTGAGAAACAGCAAGACCCATGTTTCAAAAGAACAGTTATTCTAGACAACCAGATGATCAACTATTAAAAATCATTAAAATCTGCTGTAACTTTTTATTTCAAATAAAGTATTTCCATGTCTATCTTCCTAGAGCCCTGGTTCCTGGAATATTTCAGGGGGATTTTTTTTTAAAATTTCAGTAAACATAAAAATCAACTATGACTCATTTGTGTATTTGCTTTGAAATAGTTTTTATGCATGTTATTTGAATTAGTGCTTTTAGCTCTTTCTTCTTACAGGTGAAGTAGAGGGCTTTTCCTTGGCCTCCTATTTTAAGGCCCCATTTCCCTCAAGCCTTCTAAGATGCCGGATATATTAGGCCTTACAGGAAGCCATGGGTAGGAGTTCCCACACTCCCAGAGACCTTGGAAGCTCTCTTCAGTCAGATCAGTATTTTATCTAAAGTAACAGGTGACTCATGTGCACATTTAAGTTTGAAAATGCCAACTTGATGTGTGGATTTTAATGAAAGTGTAAAGACTTAATATGCCTCAAAAATAAAATGCTCCCAAATATTTATTGAAACATATCTATGAGTGAGAACTATTTAGCCTTAAATATTAGTCATTAATTTTAGGCCTGTGACCTCCTCTAGAACGTTCAGTGCCATTAAACATGAAGGCTCCCATCTTTTCTACTCACAAAAATCTGATGGTGCCTATTGTGGTGGCACATGCCTGTAATTCCAGCACTTGAGAAATTGAGGCAGTAGGAGTGCCTTGAGTTTGAGGCTAGCCTGATTTACCTACAGGCTAGACCGTCAAGCAAGACCCAGTATCAAACAAACAAACAAACACACACATACACAAGGAAACAAACACACAAACAAACAAACAAAAATAATAAACCAAACTGATGTTATCTGCCAGGATGATTCCACTTCAGAGAAGAAAACAACATGACGTAAGAAAAGGTGACAGATTCCAAATGTATCTCCATAATTTGCATGCATTTCTCCTTTGTAAAACATGTAATACGATTCATCTTTTTGTATGGATGATAGTTAAGCAACATACATTAACTTGCTAGAAACATTGAGTTCTATTTTGACTGATGGTTTGGTGGGCATAGCATCCTGGAATCAGCTCAGGGTTCCTTAACAACCTTAGGAGCCTCCGTGCATCAACTTCAACGGGCATGACTGGAAAATTCCATCAGTAATTAGAGCTCCTGGGATCAGACATGTGAGGTGTAGAGAGGATCCAACATGAATTCACCTTCAGCTACTGGGAAAACTGAGGCTGCAGTAAACAGTGTGGCTTTGCTGATTTTACTTTGAGGGTTTTAAAATTACTCTGAAAGGTTTAATGTTCCACTTTTAGCTGTATAAAAGTCTGAACAAAACCTGTATTTCTGGTTTCTGTGATATCCCACACTTATAGAGCAGGGCCAAATTATGAATCAAATTCTGAAAATTTTTTTTTGATCAAGCTTTTTCCTGACGTGCATCAACTCACCTGGTCAGCAATCTCCTGGACTTCTGCTGTAGCAGGTTTGGCCTCTGTCAAGCCTCCAGGTATCATTCTGGCGAGTTACTTCTTTGCTGGGCAGGATGCTGAGAAGAAATGATCTGGCGAGCAGGGAGACTTAGGGTTTTAAAGGTATCCATAAACTCCTCCTATGTCATGTATAATCACCACGGTATCTGAGGGAATGGGGAAATGAGTGTGGCCTCAGGCAAGTCTTACTGCATCCCTTAAAGGAAATGCAGAGTCGAGTTGGAGGGAAATGAACTGCTGGACATGAGCAAGTAGGTGTGCCCAGGACTAAGGTATGGTGAACACGGTTCCTCCCTGAACTCTCTGTGCCAATAAGGTCATCCTGTTGTGTCATAAGAGGAAGGACATGTATAACCTGAGTTTTTAAGTATGTTAAACCCCGAAGACTTCTTTAAAGAGAATAGCTAATTATGTCAAGGTTGGTTGCTTAGGATTTATCCAACTTTATTAAGATAATAGAACTGTGTATGATGGATTTTGACTTGCAGTTTCTAAAATGTTTATCCCCAACAGGAAGAATAAAATCGTAAATACTTTTATTTCTTCTGCTACACTTGATTCCATTGTTTCTTTGTTTTTGTTTATGTTTTGTTGTTGTTTTTTAAAAAGATTTATTTATTATTTTATTCATGAGTACACTGTAGCTGTCTTCAAACACACCAGAAGAGGACATCGAATCTCATTATGGATGGTTGTGAGCCACCATGTGGTTGCTGGGATTTGAACTCAGGACCTCTGGAAGAGCAGTCAGTGCTCTTAACCGCTGAGCCATCTCTCCAGGCCATTTTTTTTTTTTTTGAGACAGGATTTTTCTGTGACTCTGTGGACCAGGCTGGCCTGAAACTCACAGACATCTACCTTCCTCTGCTTCCCAAATGTTGGGATTAAAGACATGGGATTAAAGAACAGTTAAATAATATTTAAATGTTTTAGAAATCAATGTGAAATACACATACGTATCTAAAAATAGCCAAAGACATTTTACCAGGGGGGTGAGACTCTGTCAAAAAAAAATCACCTAAATCACCTTTTGTTAGATGTACAGAACCCAGAGTGTCTGGTAATCTTTGTAAACACCAGATTCTTGGACTTTTTAAAAGAAAATCCTGTGTATCAACTGACACAGGCTATAGATTTCTGTCTGATTTGATTTACAGAAAAGAAATATGGCTGTCTAAAAAGAAATAATGGGAACTTGGCTTGAGGATCCACTGTCTGTTGACATGTTCTGATGCTTTGGAGAAGAAGGAAACAAAGCTATTTGCCCTGAACGATGCAGACATACTGCATGCTGCCTTTTCTGCCCTGTGCTTTCCCCTATACAACCTCTTTGTACCCAATGAGTTGGCCAAGATGGAACTTTGTGGATGAGGTCCCCCTCTGCTGTCATGTACCCAAGAAGTGCTCCATGAGTAAACTCTGGACTCCTGGATACTAGCTGTCATCTTACAAACACTGACCTTCAAGCACTGAGGGACCAGGACTTCAGGAACAATTGGAACTTTGGCTCATGATTCCATGATGGAGAAGGCATGGCAGTAGGTGAGAGGCAACTGGTTTCATGTGTCTCATATCAGGAAACAGAGTGACAAGTGCTGGCTCTCAGCTCACTTTCTTATTTTTGTTCAGTCTAGGACCATGATATGATGCCACCTACATTTAGGATGGGTCTTCCCACCTTAAATGGCCCAATATTGAACATGCTTCAGTTAGGTGTAAATTTGTACACCTTTCTTTTTAAAACTCATGCCTTGTCTCTTCCTGCATTTGTTGTGTTTATTGGATGGACAACTACAGAGAACTAGATGTTGACATTTGTCTTAGGGTTTTACTGCTGTGAGCAGACACCAAGACCATGTCAGCTCATACAACATTTAATTGGAGCTGTCTTACAAGTTCAGAGCTTCAGTCCATTATCATCAAGGTGGGGAGCATAGAAGCATCCAGATAGGCATGGTGCAGGAGGAGCTGAGAGTTCTACAGCTTCATCTGAAAGCTGATAGGAGAAGACTCACTTCCAGGCACTAGGAGATTCTTAAAGCCCATGCCCAGAATGACACACCTACTCCAACAAGGCCATACTTCCAAATAGTGCCACTCGTTGGGCCAAGCATATTCAAACCATGCCAACATTCTAAGGTGGTCAGCCAGGTGTGGTGGTGCTCACCTTTAATCTCAGCACACGAGAGATAGAAGCACATGGAATTTTTTGAGTTTAAGACTAACCTGATCTACATAGTGATTTCAACACTAGTCAGAGCTTCTCAGTGAAACACTGTCACAAAAAAGAAAAATTATTTTAAAACAAAGCTGTGTCAAAGAAGCATATGTCAAACTTTTGACTCAGTGCAAAGTGAATCACTATAATGAGTATCATGTATGGGCATGCAAGAGGGTAAGACTCATCCTCTTCTTTCTAAGGTTCACACTCCTATGACAATAGACATATTCCTATGACAACAGACAGCACAGGGGGGGAAAAACAGTGGGATGGATCAATGTAATCAAAGTTTTAGACAACACAAGACACTTTGGAAATTGAATCCTAAATACCTAAGAACAGCAGCTTCCCATTTCTAATGTTTTTATTTGACCCAAAATGGACAGCTAACTACAGATGTGACTGAACATGGAGGCTTATGGCCTACTGGTGCAAGACTGGGTAGGAGAACCAGCAAGGCTGGTCTGTTTAGATTCTTGGTCTGTCTGGGAGGAGATCCATCTCTATGGTACTGGGCAGAACCACTCCTAGAATGAAGATTTTATGACTTACTATCAGGCAAGGCAGGTTATGCAACCTGCTCAGGGTCAAGACCTACACAATAGTGCATGGAAAGTTTTGAACAAGGTTTCTAGGTTTTATGGCTGTCTTCAAGGGAAGAGTTCTATGATTTGCCTTCAGAAAGAGTATTTCTTTGGTCATACTAAGGATGGAATGTAGTGTCTTGAGCAAGCTTGACAAAGAGCTCTACCACTGAGTTTCATCCTCAATATGTTATTTACTGAGTCTCAACATCAGCAAAGAGAGTTACAAGAACAAGGCATTTAAAGTTGGCAGATGTTAGCACTGGACACAGAGGCACGTGCATAGAATCTCAGAATGTGAGAGACAGGTTCAAGAAGATTTGAGAGACAGAGTCACAGGTTCAAGATCAAGAAGGACTACATGAGGAGTTCAAGGAAAGCCTGCGTGTGCTACATAATGGGAAAGTTCCGTTTCCAATGAAACCAATTATTAGAACTCTAGTTGACCATGGTGTTGGTTAATCCTGTCAACTTGACGCGATTTGGATACAAACCTCTGCACCTCACTAAGAATGTTCCTCAGTGGTTTCTCACGTCCCCTTTACTTCTTTTTAGAAGGTCATATTTCTTTTCTGCAAGTCTAACCTCACAGAAATTTACAAAGCTGACAGAGTGAGACTGTGTCAGTTGATGAACAGGATCATCTTAAAAGAAGACGCCTAAGATTCTGATGTTATGCAAAAATTACCAGACACTGGGTTCTATAATCTAAAGAAAGGTGAATTGGCAGGTTTTTTTTTTTCTGTTGTTGTTGTTGGTGGTGGTGGTGTTTTAAAGACAGCATCTCAACCCCTGGGAAAAAGGATCTTGGCTGTTTATAGATATGTGTATTACATGTTTATTTTGGTTTATAGGATTGTTTAAATATAGAAAACACAATAAAATAACAGACATCTATGTCTTGGTCACTCAGAATTGAACCTGTCTTCCCCCCTTTTCTCTGATGGAATCACTCCAGTGGGCAGGGATGGGTGAGCAGTAAGCCTCTGTCGCTTTGCTGTGCCCAATTCCCTGTCATCCCTAGCACTTCCCTTTTGACACCCAGCAATTCTTCTAAAGAGTAGCCTTACCTTTTACATGGTTGGGATATTACCTGACAAGTTACCTATTGACTGTAATCCGACCACTTGGGAAGCAGAGGCAGAAGGATCAGAGCACTCAAGGCCATGCCTGTAATCCCAGTGCTCTACAGGCAGAGGCAGAGAGTCGGAAATCAAGGTTCACAGTGAGTTCTAGGAGAGCCTGGGCTATAGAGTGAGTTCCAGGTGAGGCTGTGCTACGTGCAAACCCTTCTAAAAAAAGACATGGTGGTCCATGTCTTTAATACTAGCACTTGGGACACAGAGGATGGAAGATCTCTGTGAGTTTGACCAACCTGATCTACAGTTAGTTCCAGGATAGCCAGGGACTGTTAAATGAGCAATCCCGACTCAAAAAAACAAAACAAAACAAAACAAAACAAAACAAAACAACAATAAGAACAAGATAACCCCAAGAGAATCAACAGCAGCAGAAGAAATGAAGATGTTTTTGCCATGTAATTCTTCATGTTTGGGGATAAACATTTCTGAAAGTACAAGTAAAAATCCACCGTAGACAGTTTTATTATCTTTATAAAGTTGGGTGGATCCTAAGCAACCAGCCTTGACATTATTAAGTTTTCTATTTAAAGAACTCTTCAAGGTTTACCATGTTTAGAAACTCAGGTTATATATGTCCTTCCTCTTATGACACAGCATGGTGACATTTTTGGCACAGAGAGTGCAGGGAAGAACTGTGCTCGCCACACCTGAGTCCTGGGCACACATGCTTGTTCACTTGCCCAAACGCATGTCCCCCCAACTGCACTCAGCATTTCCTCTCAGGGATGCAATAAGATTTTCCTGAGATCACAGTCATTTCCCTAGTTCCTCTGATACTGTGGAGATAATACATTAGGGGAGGAGTTTACAGATCCCTTTAAAACCCTGACTCTTAGTGCTTGCTGAATCATTCCTTCTCAGCACCCTGCCCAGCAATGAATCCAGACACCATAATAATTACAGGAGGCTTGTCAGAGGCCAGACCTGCTACACCAGAAATCCAGGAGGTTGCTGACAAGGTGAGTCGATGTAGTTCATGAAAAAGCTTTAATAAGGATTCCCGAGCTGATTTCAGAGTACAGTGTCCACCAAACTACCACAGTCAAAATAGAACTCAATGTTTCTACCAAGTTAATACATGCTGCCTAACTGTCATCTAAATTATAAAAATGTATTATGTTACCTGTTTAAAAAAGAAAAGTATATGCAAATTATGGAGATAGATTTGTAATTTGTCACTTTATTTTCTTATGTCAAGTTTTTTTCTTCTCTGAATCCAAACCATCCTGAAGGACAAGATCAGTTTGGTTTATTGTCTGTTTTTTTGTTTTTACATTTGTTTCACACATAGACTTGCTAGATGGTCTATCCTGCAGGTAAATCAGGCTAGCCTCAAACTCAAGGCACTCCTACTGCCTCAACTTCTCAAGTGCTGGGATTACAGGCATGTGCCACCACAATAGGCACCATCAGATTTATGTGAGTAGAAAAGATGGGAGTCTTCATGCTTGGGGCACTGAACATTCTAGAGGGGGGGTCACAGGCCTAAAATTAATGACTAAATAGTTAAGGCTAAATAGTTCTTACTCATAGGTCTATTTCAATAAATAACTTGGAGCATTTTATTTTCGAGGAACATTAAATCTTTATATCTCATTAGAATTCTCACATCAAGTTGGTGTTCTCAACCTTAAATGTGCACAAGAGTCATCTGTTGCCCTAGATAAAATGCAGATCTGATTAAAGAGAGCTACATGGGACTTCGTGTCCTCATTTCTTCCATGGTCTCTGGGAGTGTGGGCAGTCCTATCCATGATTTCACTTTCCTGTAGGGCCAGATAGCCAGCATCCTATAAGGTTTGGGGTATGTAGGGCCTTAAAATAGGATGCCAAGAAAAAGTTCTCCATTTACCTGTAAGAAGAAAGTGCTAAAAGGACTGACTAAAATACCACACAGAAAAAATGTTTCAAAACAAATAAGCACAGATGAGGCACAGTTGATATTTATGTTGACCGAAAGAAAAATCTCCCTGAGATGTTCCAGGATCCATGGCTGTATGGGCCTAGACAGAAAAATACAGTTATTTGAAATAAAAATTTGCAGCAGATTTTCATAATTTTTAATAGTTGGTCATCTGGTTATCTAGAATAGCTGGGGGTCTTTCTGTTTCTCCAAGTTTCTAACCTCTCAGGTTCAGATAATCCATTTTCCTATAGCCTCCCAAGTAATAAGGACTACCGATTGTGTTATTCTGCTGGCTAGGAAAACCTTAGAGAGCATGATATTCTCATTAGTTCTTTGAGGATTTCATACATACATAAACATACTTTAATCATATAAATTTCAAGTTGGGAAGCTATTAGAAGGGCTTATCTTGCTAATGACACAATCTGTCCACCACATCTTCAATGATAAAGTTTATATAGAAATGTTTTCTTGCAACTTCAGACAAGCAGAAGGAGAAATAGATAGTAATGAAGTCACCTCACCCTGGAAAGAGCTTTGCTGTTTTAAAATCCTTGATTTCTGTCTCACCTCTCAGTTGATCTTCAAAGCCCCCAAGCAGGCAAGGATGCGTTCCATCCTATGTTTAGGTGATGAAACCAAGACTCAAAATGCTTAAGAGTTATCCAGATGAGAAACTAACCTGTTCTTTCCCATTGCACAGCCTCAGCACACTGGGGAGATCTCCAGGAATGAGGAGAGGAAATGCAGCAAACTTGTCTTCTCTGTGGAAGCCAGGGCCTCAGACTTAAATCCCCATGAGAGATGCATAGCCATCAGCCAGTTCCTAGGGGCATTTCCTGAGTCTCTCCTAGGATTTCAACATCTGACTACAAACTGTAGAAGCTACAGAAAGGCCTGAAAGAAACAGTCTCTATTACTCCCAAATTAACAGTGCAGAGGAAATCAAGATGTCTAGGGAATATTATAAAATAAAACTTACTTAAGCACTTTTTCATGATCACAGGTTTAAGACCAAAAAGAACATTAGGCGCCACTGCCAACTGCTTTACTGTCAGGTGAACAGGTACAGGGTGGTGGCTCGGTTCCCAGATGTCACTCATCTGTCCTGTCTTGCAGGAGACAGCCTGAGGGACAACTCTCACTAAAATATTGAGAGGCAGAGATGCAGGCTGTAAACTATGCATTTTTAGGAAGTATCTTCTCAGTCACAGCAATCATTTCCCCTACAGAGAACACCATGGTGCAGATACTACAGAAAGCCCTCGTTATGTCAGGAAATTCCGTCTACACCTCCAAGATTATGGTCTGTTGGTTCCACACACAGTGTCAGGTCAGAGGGGGTTATTGTAGCCCTGAGGGGCCCCAGAGAAAAATCTCTACTCTGTGTTGTTTATATGTGTCAAATACTTTGTACTCACTGATCAAACATAGACATACCTATTTGGGCCTTTCATTGAAAATCATGACTATATTGTTTTTTGCTTTGTTTTTATTTTTTTTGAGTGAGTGTGTGTGTGTGTGTGTGTGTGTGTGTGTGTATTTTTACTTTTGGGGTAGGTTTTATTGGGTAGCCCCAACTAGCCTGGAATTTTCTAAATAGCCAAAGCTGCTCTTGAATGACATTCTCCTGCCTCAGTCTTTCAAATTCTGAGATTAGAGGCTAGAAGCTTGAGCAGCCAGTCCAAATCTCTGAGGACTCTCAACAGGATAAGGTCCCCAGATTTGTGACTTAGGTAAACTGAGTCAATATAGCCCTGACTAACATCATCTCTTACTTTTTCCTCATAAGATCAAACCACTGCTCGAAGAGAAAATCAATGAGAAATATGAAAAATTTAAAAGTTCAAGTCATTGAAGGACTAAATTACTTCATTAAGGTTAGATGCCGGCCTCCCTCAAGCACTGATGTGATGTTTCCTGTTGCCCCAACTGTAGCTTCATTTCTACCACTGGTCTTTAATTAAGGCACTTGCATTTTGAGAATCCCCAAATCCATTGGATGACAGGATAGTTACCTTGTTTTACCTTGTGAATACAGAAAGCTTTGTTCAGACTGGCAAGAAGTCAGTGTTAACACACACACACACACACACACACACACACACACACACACAAACACACACACACACGAGCAGGTCCCCGCATCATGTACACACACTTTTTGTATGATCCACATCAGAGTGACATGTGTAATGGTAAACTTTGGTTAGTAGCATTTGAAGATTAAGATACGAAGGGATGTCAGAGTACAATATCTACGTGAGAACCCAAAACCTTTATTGTTCCAATAAAGAAAAAATTGGCAGTTCTTATCTGGATGGCCTCAGCCCCAAGTTCATGCTCCCAAACCATCGGGAGTGATACCCTGATGGAACCTAAGCTGCTTTCCTTTTCCTTTCAAAGGAGGCAGCCTGGTCGGCATTCACAAAGTAGGTTACAACACAGCAGAGACATGGGGAGCATATAGTCCATATTCTCTAAAGCCAATCTGAGTTTCTTTTCCCTTATCAAACTATATGCCAAATTTTCTCCCAACTTAGATGTCAGAAAACAGAATAACCAAAAACAAAGACTGCACTCTGCTCCTTTTCAGATATCATGAAAATAAAATGGAACTCTAGAATGTAATCTGTGCCAAGGTTTTGATGAAAAATACAATATATTAAATCCAGATAGAGAAATAGATCAGTGGGTAGGAACATTGGCTCTTCTTGCAGAGGACCTGGGTTTGGGTCTCAGCACCCACATGGTAGCTCACAACCATCTCTGACTCCAGTTTGAGGAGATTTAACAGCCTCTTTTGACATCTTTAGACATTGCATGTACATGATGCATTTAAATACAACCAGGCAAAAATATTTATACAAATAAATTGAATAAAATCCTTTTCTAAAAGGTATTAAAAATACATATAAGAAATATGTTTTCTGCCATACTGTTAGCTTTGCTTTCTCCTAACATAAGGGTGGATGGGAGTTCAGTTCACTGGTGCTGCCTTGGGCCAGAAGTGTTTTTTCAGCAGAGCTTGGCACATCAAGTCCTGACAAGAAGGAAGATCTGTCATACCATGGAGACCCAGGAGGATAATCTTCCTCCCTCCCTCCCTCCCTCCCTTCCTCCCTCCCTCCCTCCCTCCCTCCCTCCCTCCCTTCCTTCCTTCCTTCCTTCCCCCCTCCCTTTCTTTCTTCCTTCCTTCCTTCCTTTCTTTCTTCCCTTCTTCTTTTATGTCTTTCAGATGGATGTAGGTTGTGGTTGTTACCTCCACATAAATGTCTTCAGTGGTATTTCCAGAGAAAAATGATTTGGAACTTCATGGTTACCAGACCAACAAAACCAAGGATGATGAGCTGACCTACTTCTAAATAGCACATTCTAATGTGAACTCATCCCTCTCATTGTAACAAGATGAGGCCATCAATAAAGAAGTATTCTTGAGATAACTGTTTGCCTCTATCATTACGCAGTATTGTTTTGACCTTTACTTCCTAGATAATTATTTTTAAAAATGGAATGTTTCATGAATTTACATGTCATCCTTGGCAGGGGAAGTGCTAATCTCTGTATCCTTCCAATTTTTAATATACATGCTGCCAAAGAAGGCACAGTGTTCTTGATTTAGAGTAGAAACTTCACAAAAAATGGTACCAGCTGGAAACCTTATACAAACTACAGCTCAGTTGCAATTGTGTAAGGGATCTAATCACCCCATCCTCACTGCAGGTGCATTGGTGGCTGTCAGGGAAGCACACTCCTTGATCCCTTCATTTGCCCAGGACCCAGCATGTCATCTCTGATTTCATATTTGAAAACTAAATTTGTATTTTACAAGTCATGTTTTGAAACAATCGTAACATATAAAGAAGCTGCCCTCTCCCCTCCCCACGCTACCTTGCACTTGAGAATCAGTTGTAGTGATTCCCCATCACCAACAAATACTTCCTGGTGCTCAGTAGTGCAAATATCAGTGTGCACTTTCCACAAGGCCATTCTCCTTCACAGCCAAAACCAACAATCAAGACCAGGAAGTGAATACTGATGGCACACTGACATCTTGTCCCCACGTGCTGCTCAAGCTTCTCATGTTGTTGCAATAATGACCTTACAGAGGTTCAGTCCAGATTCTTGTATTCCATTTAATTCTGTCTTCTTTTAAAATTGTTATTCCATTTGTGTGTGTGTGTATGTGTATGCACCACAGCCCACTTGCAGTCAGAAGATAACTTGAGGCAATCTGTGTCATTTCCATCACATGGGTACAACTCTCAAACTGAAGTAATTAGGCTTGGTGACAAATGCCCTTAGCCACTGACCCATTGAATACTTTTACTGGACAACATATATGCCACAAATACCACGCAGTTCAGATATTTCAAGTGTTCTGCTCAGGGACTTTTAGTATATTCACAAGTGTGTGCAAACCTCACCATGTCATTTCACATTATTTTACTTTCCACACACAAGGAAGAGCTGTCTGTCCTCTACCTTCCTCCCTCTCCCCTCGCCTCTTACTGCTAAGCAGCCACTACTTCCTTCAGTCTGCATTTGCCTGTTCTAGACACAACATATGTGTATATCTGTAGATGCACACATAAGCAATCATTTCTTTGATTATTTTTTTTGTTTTGTTTGTTTTTGTTTTTTGAGACAGGGTTTCTCTGTCTAGCCTTGGCTGTCCTGGAACTCACTCTGTAGACCAGGCTGGCCTCGAACTCAGAAATCCACCTGCCTCTGCCTCCCAAGTGCTGGGATTAAAGGTGTGCGCCACCACTGCCCGGCACTCTTTGATTATTTGTAATTGACTTTTTTCTATGAACAATTTTAAATATTCATTAATATAACATCATTTTACATCTTTTTATACTTTCAAAACATATTCTATGAATACATATGTAATTAATGTATTTGTATAATATGTTTGGTTTGCTGTTTGTATGTTTCCTTGTGACAGATGGCTGCTATGTGTAGCCCAGATTGGTCTTCAATTCAATGTAACTCATGATCTTCCTGCCTCAGCCTCCTGAGCACAAGGTTACAGACTGAGAAGGCTAGACTAATTCCAACACAAGCTTCAAGTTGTCAGTTCAGGAGATGATGCCTAAGAACTGGACAAGTTCAGGCAAGCCCAGGCAAGTCAGTTATTAAAACAAAACAAAATAAAATAAAACAAAACACAACAAGGAAACCCCATGCTTCAGACAGCTAGTCAGAAATTGCCCTACCATCTGAAGCTGCCCAGCCACCTGGCCTGAGACAAGGACAATAGGATAACAACAGTTTCAAGACTTCCTCAGCAATAGTTTCCAGACTTCCCAACAACAGTTTCTAGCCTTCATGCTCAGTTGAGGGTTCTAAAAAGTCCCTGGCTATAGACTCAACAGATTAAGATAGAGGTCACCTACTCCACAATTTCCCTAATCTGTTTTAAGTCAGGCCTGTTAGCTCATTTCTGGATCTCTCTATCTTGGTTATGGAAGACCCCAATATGCTAGACTTCTTCAAAATAAAGCACTCTCTTTGCTTTTACATTGTATTTGAATCTGGGGTGTCATTCTTCAGCAAATCATGAACCTTTACATTTACGGGCTTATCTGGGATTTGCTAGAGATCCCCCAACCCAAATAGTGGAGTGTTTTCTGATCAGTAAGTCTAGGCGCTAACGATATTTTGTCTTCTGCATCTCTGTGTTTATGTTTCACGTTTAATATGGAGCCCAAGAGGGACAAAGCAGACAAGTATTTTATCAACCCGTCAGGGGCAATGAAGGATGCTTCTGACCAGATGCAGGAGAACTTGCTAGTTCTTATCTGAATTCTGAACAGGCTATGGGTTTATGGGCCTCTCGTGGACAGTAAGGAAGGCCATCTGAGACAGTCTTTTCATTATGTTTTTGTTTTCCTGGGAATTTCCTTCTGTGTCCGCCTGTATATTCTATTTGTGCTTTATGTCCTATCATACACATTTTTATTTGATTCCAAGAATAGGACAGGATAAAATCACTCTACAGGACCTGGTCTTGAACCATTTTAAGGACTTTTGCCAAGTCATAGAAGAGTCAGCTTCTAGTTGTTCGTCCCTGCAAACAAATCATCTTTTGCAGGAATGAATGGCCATGTATGGTCTGAGGAGAGGACTTTCCATCTCCTCAACATTTACAGGGTTAAGGTTTAGTTTACGAGGCCTGGAGCCACCTGGAACTTCAAATATTACCATGAGACAATACCTGGTAGAGAAGCTTCCTATTTGGATGAGACCTTTTTTTTTTTTTTTTTTTTTTTTTTTTGGTATAGGCTTCATCACTCCCTACCCTTCTTCATCTAAAGGACAGTGAGCCTCAGACCCCTGCCTTGCTCCTCCATTCTGCTCCTGAGTAGCATCTCTATCCCCCTTTTTATGTTTGTGCTTCTGCTGCTGCTGCTCTGCTCAGCCAGCAAGACAGGGAGGAGCAGCCTCTAACTCCTCTGACTTACCTGACTCCACTTGGAGTCCACTTCACTCTCTGGGCTGTATTGCCCAGAGGGCCAACTCTATTAATGTCAGGGGCAGCCTTGCTTATACAGTGAAAGCCTAAAATCAGCAATAGACCTAAGTCAGCTTGCTAACACAAAGTCTTGGTCTCTGTGGAAAAACACTCAACAGATGGCTATAGGATCTTGTAAACAAGTAGCCTTGGTGGAAATTTATCAGCCTGGATAATAGTCATAGACCTTGCAGATAAGTAGCCTTGGTCGATAGTACCAACTTAGATAAGGACAAGTGAATCATAGACAGAGTCATAGTGGCCTGTTACCTGAACCTTCACCCAGCCGATACCCTATTCTGGAAGATATCTGTACTCCCCCTGAACATCTATGCTCCTGTGTCATCCTCTTCCCCACATCCTGCCTTTATGTATATAACCCCTGTGTGAAAAAGTAAAAATTTTGGTTTGATCAGCCTATAGACAAGCTGTGGTTTTTTGCGTTAGCCTGTTTCTCCCATTCTCTCTTTCAGGTGATCTCCCCGGACCCTGTTTACTGCCCTGCTGGATGGGACATATTAAGGCCTTATCCCTCTGGGCTATGGGACTCCAGATGCTCAGGGGAGACAGTTCATGCCTACTCAAGTTCAGGTTGATATTGATACAACCTTTCCTTTGACTCAACCCGCCTAGAATTTTAATACTGCTGAAAGTAAGGAGAGGCTCTGGGTCTACTGCCAGATTTTGATGGAGAGCCTTCAAGAGGCTACCAGACAGCCCACAGATTTATCTAAGGTGAGCCAGAAGATGCAGAAAAACAAACAAACAAACAAACAAAACAAACAAATAAACAAACAAAACGAGAGCCCTAGGGAATATCTAGAAAGACTTTTTAAAGTATATATGACTTTCACTGCTTTTGACCCAGAAGCCAGAGAATACCAGTCAGCTGTGAACATGGCTTTTGTTAACCAAGTTGCTCCTGACACCCATTGGAAATTTCAGCAGCTGAAAGGCTTTGTGGCCTGCCTCTGTCACCCAAAAGCCAGCCTCTATTTGTCTTTGAATGGCAAGGCTTGGAGAGAGGCTTCAAGAGACAACTGACTTGGACATACCTGCCTCAAGGATTGAAGAACTCACCCAACATCTTTGATGAGACACTACATGAGGACTTGGGTGAGTACTGGCTGGCCCACCCCCAAATAACTATGCTCCAATGTGGAGATGACATCCTGATTGTGGGTGCCGACTTGGAGATATGCCAGGAGGCCAAATGAGACCTGCTATAGGTGCTGAGTCAACTTGACTATCAAGTGTTTACTAAGAAGGCTCAGCTTTGTCAACTTGAGGTCACCTGTTCAAGGGTGGGCCAACCATGCTGTCAGACTCCTAGAAGCAAAACATCCTTAACATCCCAGTTCCATCAACCCTAAGACAAGTACTGAAATTTCTGGAATCTGCCAGGGTCTCTAGACTTTGAGTGCCAGGGTTCACTGAGATAGCCAAACTGTTATATGAGGACACCAGGGGCCAAGAAGACAAAATTAAATGGAACCCTGAGATAGACATGGCTTTTAAGACTAAGAAGAGCTTTATTAGAGGCACAGGCCTATACCCTCCAGGACATTCTCCAACCTTTCCAGCTATAGATAGACAAGAGAAGGGAGATAGCAAGGGGGTGCTCACCCAAAGTTTGAGACCATCAAAAAGACCTGGTGGTCCAAGGTTGGCCAGTCTGCCTCTGGATCATAGCTGCCACTGTCTTGCTAGTCAAGGATGCTGACAAAATAACCATGAGGCAGGAACTTGTTATCACCACCCCTGAGCTATTGAGGGGACCCTGAATAATCCACCCAGCTAGTGGTTGTCCAACAGCTGACTGATACACTTTCAGGCTCTGCTTTTGAATACCCCACACATAAGATATGATCTAGCATCTACCCTAAACCCAGCCACCCTTCTACCTGACCTCTCCTCAGATGTGCAGTATGATTGCTCTATAGTTCTGGGGCACCTCCACAACATCATACCGATTTGACTAATATACCCTGGCCAGAGGCAGAGCATATCTACTTCACAAATGGGAGCAGCATCATCCAGAATAAAATCAGGGATGCATGGGTAGTGATAATGGACTTAGAGTCTG